GAAGCTTGGTCATCTGTACCAGAACCTGATGCCTTGTGACGCAACTCCTTGCTGTGAAGTGCCGACCTGACTTCCTCCAAACTCACTGTATCATTACTCCCTATGAATGTCTGAACAAAGTTCTCATATGAGTTAAGCAGTGACACCAATAAAATCAGTGCTGTATCCCCATCCTCCACCTTAACACCAATATTCCTCAGATCCAACATAATGGAATTTAGACTATCAAGGTGATTCTGAAGTTGTGTACCTTCCTGCATCCTCAGAGGAAAAGACGTTGTTTCAGAAGTAGCTTCTTTGTCAGAGACTTCGTCAAGTATAGACTCTATAACTTCGACCACAAATCAGCTGCAATATCAACATCAGAAACCTAGATGATGATCTCATCTGCCAGACATAACAAAATTGTTGAATACGCCTTCTCTTCAGTAACCTCCATCTCAGTAGTAAAATGTTCAATCTTCTTCCCTAACAACGGTTCCAAAGACCTTGTTGCTTCAGCAACGCCTTCATCTTGATTTACAAGAGACTGAAACTATTCCTTGCAGTAAACTTGTCGATCTTACATTTTCGATAAAACCCTCTCGTAAATGTATTTTAACAATTCTTTCGATGATGTTAGTCGATCATATCCGAACTGTTCCTTTCTTCTACATCCTAGGTCTTCCTGTTCCGCTATTAAACGAATTATTAGCCGATTAATAGATCAGTTCGGGGCTTTGAAAAATATGCTGATTCGGCGGGTAAAAATACTATATGTAAAAAAAAAAAAGCGATAGATATATTTAATATTTATCCCAGATATCTTCTCACTAGATTCAACCTGAAGCTCTAATACCAGTTTGTTGTGCCGGATGTGAGAAGAAACAAATTAACAGATTGATAAACAATGAAGAATGACACAAAGATTTAGTGTGGGTTAATCCACGGGCAAAAAGAGTATTTTATTGATGGATGCGAGTTTTTCAGAGTACAATTCATGTTTCAGAATAGGGTAAAACCCTAAAGATATATATAAGAAAGCGTTTAATGAAACTTTTCATATTTCTCGGATTTGACACATCGACTGATCCATGACTCCTGGATCGATCGATCTGTGTCATGTCAGATCGACCGATCTATGATTCCTAGATCGATCGATCTGTGTCAGATCGCAGATTCAAGGCATATTTCAACAAAATTGTTAGTGGATTTTATAACATTTTTTTTTCCATTAACCTTACTGGTTAATGCACATCGAATTTTCATATTGTTTGCCAGCAAATATGCTACGCTGTTTCTTTTCAACCATAAACATGTATACTTTCTTAGTTAGGTGGATATTTTGTAACATAGTAATTTGTAACTATTGGTGTCATTGGAGTAAGAAATGATCTAACCCATTTTATTTTTCACTCTAAATAGAATAAACAATAAGGTTACTTTGAGTAATGTTTTAATTTTTTTTTGTTAATTACTCAAAAAATTTCATTACAAAGTTATTTTATTTTGCAAGTAAAAAAGATTTACATTGAAGATGATCTAATAACGTGTAAGTTTAAATCCGCAAATGTGCATAAGTGGATTGTACACAACAAAATGTATATTTTGTTATCTAGAAAAAAAATTAGTTTCCAAAGATTAAAAATCTACAACAAACCACAGGTAACACATACAAGAATAAACACAAGCCATAGATAATCCAAGTACAACATTTCACATAATTTTCTATTAAATTTGAGTTTTCAAACAAAACACATAGTCGGATTATAGGTATATGACTCTTAACCACAGAGTAGAACTCATCTCTTATATAACTGAAAAATAAATTATTAAAATATATATTAAGCAAAAAATAGGTTAAACCCTACCAATAGTTTTGATCACATTTCTTACATTCGACTGAGGTTAATGTTTCGAATCACCATCTATATGATTTGGAGAGAACCTGATGATAAGAAACATTTGAAGAATTAAATTATGTCAATTGACCAGAGTTATTAACAAAACAGTGAAAAATCAAATTATGTCAACCAATTACAACAAGAGACCTCGTACGAGAAGTTTTCTCCATCATTGGTTTAGAGCACGCATATAGTTCTATAGCATTCCAAATACCATTTTTTGTACATTAACATGCATCTCATTGATAAGAAAAAAGAACTTTTGTTGTGTAAACAATCAAAATTATAAACTAAGAGATGGTATATTTATTAATTTGAGGTAAACAATCAAAATTATAAACTAAAAGATGGTATATTTATTAATTTGAGAAGTAATCGCCAAACAAGAAGTGTGTTTGGGTAATGTTTATTTTGTATTTTTTTTACAAAAGAAGTGATTAATGCGTTATACCACATGCCAATTAACCTAACGTGCATGTTACCACAATCAAATGATATATTGATGCAATACTTTATGATTGAATCCAAAAAGAACTAGCGATCTATAATACTAGGAATACACAAACTTCTCTAATCCAAACAAATAAGAAAAATGATTTGTAACAAGCTAGGATCTTTAAAATTTAAACAAAGGTGATCAAATTCAGAACTAAACTTTCAATCAATTGAGAAAAATATGATTCATGAGCATAGACATCTGACTTCAAGTGACTAAGATTCAATCTAGAGTGGCAAACTTTTAATCAATATGTTTCTTTAAATCCAGACAAAATTCCTAAACAAGTTCTCTTCCAAGATAAATATTCATTTGCCTTCAACCATCAACCATCAACCATCAAACATCAATTATCATTGGTTTAATTTAATCAAGTAATAAGAGCAAATCTACTAACGACCTAGTAATCCTACGTCAAATGTATTTGGTTATTTTAGCTAGAGTAAAATTGAGTTGTTCCAGATATTTCATCGAACACTTTTCGGCTGTGAAATGTCTATAACTCTAGTTTAGAGTGATTAAGTGATCAATATTAAGAATACTCAGAAAGCAAAGAAATAGATATATCTAACACTAAACATACTAGATTTTCACTTAATCACTCTAATCACCTTAACCTAAGGATAAAAAAATGACTACTCACTAATCTCCATGAAAAACCTTAAACCAATGTAAATTTTAAAGGCTAATCATATTAGTAAGCAAGATAACAAGATATAAGATGAAATACTTTCTTAAAATTATCAAAAGATTCAAATTTTTACAAAAGTAGACAAAGTTTGGAGAGAAAATGAGATTGGATCTAAAATTAGATCTCCAATATATTTATAAAAAGCTAAAAACGAAAATAAAATTCAGATATTTCGTACGTAGCGACATGCTCTTGTCGCTATAACCCACAGTTTTTTCCTAGCGACATACTATAACTCTAGTCGTTACAAAGTTGATATACCTTCAATAGATAGGTTATATGTCTTTCATTACAGTTTCAAATGACTTGAGCTTTAGAAGATATCTCTAAGGCCTTTATAAATTTCCAAAATTTGAGCTTTAGAAGATATCTCTAAGGCCTTTATACATGTTCATCTTTCAATTTTTAGACTTAAGATACTTTATTTTACTTAGTTCAACTCTGTAAGTGTTTCATTCATCTTACGCACTTGTTCCAAAGGTTCCCTAATACAAATGCACACGCCAGAACGCTAAATGCATCTAAAGTATGCAATATGAAGCTAAAACATGAGAAATAACTAAGTTAAAACAATGCATCATCATGATACATCAAGTAGGTTGGCTATGTATTTATTTTGTTGATCTAAATGATGAACAAATAAAGAAGTAACCTGTAAGTTGAAACAAAAATAAATAAATGGAAGAAGAGTGTTTAGTTGTCAGTTGTACGGGTTAACCACTAGGATGGTTTGCAGAAAACCAAATGTCAAAGCCGCTCGTTAACGTGTTTTCTGTTTGTTTTTCTGAATTTAGTTTTATGTCCTCCTTTTCTTTTTGCTATTGTGATTTTCTTATTTTTGATTAAAAAATTCTATTTTTCAAATTGCTTCACTGTTTCCGTAATCTTGTAAGTTTGTACTAACATTGCTGTAAGTTCTTCTTACCAATTTTTTTTCTGTATTAATAGCCAAAAAAATTAGAATGGTGTACCTTTTAATGTGTTAAAATGTATTCAAAAAACAAGGGGAGTGTTTTAAAATTTAAATTATGCTAAGTTCGTGATATTTTAAAATTCATAAATGAAGGACCTAACCTCTTTTTTGGGTCGATTCCCGTATTGTTGCCATTGCAAAAAGTGCGACGTGATTGATAAGTGGGGTATTTAGGAGAATTGACACAAAGGTGAAGAAGATCGTTTGGGCATTTTGTTACGAAGATATGACCTTTTTCACTTTTTATTGTGTGTGTTTGCCTCAAACCACCACGTCCTCACACTTACCATATAACGCCTTGATAATAGTAATAGATTAATAATATTAATGGTCGTATATTAACTTTTATTAACCAAATGTCATCTTTACAAAAAAAAAGAGATTTTAGTAGTAGTACTTTGGTACTTTATGTAAATGCAAACACATTCATTTACCACCTCACCGCCCCTATGTGAAATGAGACCTAAAAGATTCATGGGAACACTCACATGACTTTCTTCTTTTCATTTTTTCTATTTTTATAGTAGCTAATTCGAATTTTGTTGTTGTAATTACTCTAAACGTTGCAATTGACGTTATTAAATAAAGAATAGTTGTTTCACAATTAATTTGTGATTAATGCAGAGGAGGAGGAAATAATTTGCCTCCACATTATTTTATAAATTTTGCAAAAAAATCATTGTCGCAATGTATATACAGGTAGGTTAAGAGTGCATTTCAAAATTACGACCAACGCTTACAAGAATTAAAAAAAAAGAAAGTAGTAATGGTCAGTAAATAAAGGAAACTAAATGAATTCCAACTGTCCCTCGGTACCTTCCTGCTTCTCCTCCATCTTCCTTCCATAAATAGAACACTTGAGCTCCTCTCTTCCTCTTCACACTCCCCTCTTCGTCTTCTCCTTTCTCTGTGTCCCTTAATTATTCAGCATTTCTCTTCTCTCTCTTTGGAGAAGCTATGGAGAAATTTGCGTCTGTGGTTTCTCTGTTACTGCTTCTCTCATTTCCGGTAGCTTTCTCCGGTCATGACTACGGCCAAGCTCTTTCCAAAAGTCTTCTCTTTTTCGAAGCTCAGAGATCTGGTGTTCTCCCACGTAACCAAAGAGTCACTTGGCGTTCTCACTCTGGTCTCAACGACGGCAAATCAAGCGGGGTATGTCGACAACTAGCTATAGATCTTTTCACCAACATTTGTTCCTGTTTCATTCGGTTTTGACTAAAACATTGTGTTCCGTTATTTTTTAGGTGAATCTGGTCGGAGGTTACTACGACGCGGGAGACAACGTGAAATTCGGACTTCCGATGGCTTTCACGGTGACAATGATGGCGTGGAGCGTCATTGAATACGGTAATCAGTTAGCTGCTAACGGCGAGCTTGGGCATTCCATAGATGCCATTAAATGGGGCACTGATTACTTCATCAAAGCCCATCCTGAGCCCAACGTCCTTTACGGCGAGGTATTTATTATTTTTTGTATTTTTGCGCAAGCTTTTACTTAAAAAAGATTTTCTAATTCAAAAATTAATTGTCTGGATGACTTTAGGTGGGAGACGGAAACACCGACCATTACTGTTGGCAGAGACCGGAAGAAATGACTACGGACAGGAAAGCTTACAGGATAGATCCGAGTAATCCCGGGTCGGATCTAGCTGGAGAAACAGCAGCTGCCATGGCCGCCGCTTCAATCGTTTTTCGCCGGTCTAACCCTGCTTACTCTAGGCTACTACTCACTCATGCTTATCAGGTAACATCTTTTTTCTTCTTAAAGATGCGCACTTTTTAAAAAATTATGAAAGATGCGTACATTAGCATAAAGAGTAATGAATGAACCGGCAGTTACGTTGGGAAGTTGCTGACACATTATTATAACTGCTCAAGAGACAGTAGAAAGTCACTTGAAGCATGAAAGTCATTTTCACCAGCCCACGTTAGGTGTTGTTATTTTTGAGGGGGTCATTAATTAATGAAAAAGTTATACAGTATTCTCTAATAATATCAGTTACTACTCACCAGGAGTTTTTATCAAAAAATTTGATATGTTTATAATTTAATTTAAACACAGAATAGATTACTAATATTAAAACTAAAACTAGTACACTGCTATTTTAACATGCTGAATGGTCCCATGGCCGTGAGGATGGATCCCTTGTTGAGGGTTGGAAGTGGTGTTATCCGTCCATCACGGGATTTTCTTTTCTTTTCTTTTCCTTTTTTGCAACCGTACAAATCTTGTCTTCTTTCTCTTCTTTAACGATCTCAGCCGTTCATCTCAAGTTTCTATTCTCTTTAGAAAAAAAAATACTTGGCACGTGCCTTGGGGTGTCGGTGCCCCATGCTGTGTGTAGTGTAACAAACTTTCCCACTTAAAACATTTACTCTTCAATAATACATCACGAATCTGCCACTCCCACACAACAACTTCTGAACTAACCTTGTTTTCTCTGTTTTATTACGGATTTGCCATCGTAATTTAATTTCTATTTCTATTTTTATTACAGCTGTTTGACTTTGCGGACAAATACAGAGGAAAATATGACAGCAGCATCACCGTCGCTCGTAAATACTACGGATCCGTCAGTGGTTACAATGTAAGATTCCACTTAAGATTAAATGGTCTTAGCTGTTTTGTTTTAATCTCTGATAATTAACCCTTAATTAATTTCAGGATGAGTTACTATGGGCAGCAGCGTGGTTATACCAAGCTTCCAACAACCAGTACTACTTGGACTACTTGGGTCGTAACGGTGACTCCATGGGTGGTACCGGTTGGTCCATGACCGAGTTCGGTTGGGACGTTAAGTACGCTGGTGTTCAAACCCTTGTCGCCAAGGTTACTAACTTAGTACACTACCAATTTTGAATTTTGTTGTTAACCGGTTTAATAATCTTGGTTTGATTCTAAACCGGTTTATTTCCTTTTGTGGAACAGTTCTTGATGCAAGGCAAAGCAGGACGTCACACGCCTGTGTTTCAGAAGTTTCAACAGAAAGCTGATTTCTTTATGTGTTCCTTGTTGGGTAAAGGCTCCAGGAACATTCAGAAGACTCCTGGTGGTTTGATTTTCCGACAACGTTGGAACAACATGCAGTTTGTCACCAGCGCTTCCTTCTTGACCACCGTTTACTCTGATTACCTAACTTCCTCCCGAAGCAACTTGAGATGTGCAGCTGGCAATGTTGCTCCTTCGCAGCTTCTTTCCTTTGCTAAATCTCAGGTTGATTATATTCTTGGAGACAACCCAAGAGCTACTAGCTATATGGTTGGATACGGTAACAACTTCCCTCAGAGAGTTCACCACCGAGGCTCCTCCATCGTCTCTTACAAGGTTGACCGCTCTTTTGTCACTTGCCGTGGCGGTTACGCCACCTGGTTCAGCCGTAAAGGCAGTGATCCCAACCTCCTCACTGGTGCTATTGTCGGTGGTCCTGATGCTTACGACAATTTCGCTGACAGGAGAGATAACTATGAGCAGACTGAGCCTGCTACTTACAACAATGCACCACTTCTCGGTGTTCTTGCTCGTCTCAGCAGTGGTCATTCTGGTTACAGCCAGCTTCTTCCAGGTTTGTGTCTGAGATTCAACACATTCTAATATATATCCTCAACAAGAATAATTAAACTCAAATAATTTATTTATTTCGTTATCTCCCTGCAGCGGTTCCTGCTCCTGTTGTTGTTAGAAGACCAATGCCTATTCGTAAACCGAGAGTGACTTCCCCTGTCCGAGGTATGCTCTTGTGTTCTTTTGTCTACTTGTGATGTGAGTGTGTCTATTGAACAGAGGCTTGACTGTGTGTTGATGACTTTGTGCAGCTTCGGGTCCAGTGGCTATAGTTCAGAAGATGACAGGTTCATGGGTATCAAAGGGAAGGACTTACTACAGATACTCAACAACTGTGATTAACAAATCACCAAGAGCTCTGAAAAGCCTCAACCTTTCGATCAAGAACCTCTACGGACCAATCTGGGGACTCACCAGATCAGGAAGAAACTCATTCGGGTTACCTTCGTGGATGCACTCATTGCAATCCGGAAAGTCCCTAGAGTTCGTCTACATTCACTCAACAACGCCCGCAAATGTCGCGGTTTCAAGCTACACTTTGGCTTGACCAGACAACAACTACTTCAAAAGAAAGAAAACACAGTGTGTATAGGTCGTGAGAAGAAGAAGAAAAGTTTTTTACAAAAACAAAAAAAGAAGAAGAAGAAGAAAGTGTTGGGTTTTCAGTCTGGTTCATCAAGAACGTTGAAAGGTTTGGTCTTGTTTTTATTTTGCATTTTCGGGTTTCTCTGGTGAATAGTAAAGGGTTGAAGAAGGGTGGAAGAAAGGTGTGAAGAGAGTGAATGACTCTTCAGAAAATTTTAAGAAGAGTGAAAGTGCTCATCCTCTTTCTACACCCAAGTTCAATCCTTTTTAAATTTATATATAAATATATATTGAGTGAGAGAGAGAAGAGAAGATAGTGTCTTGTGAGATTTTGCAAGGATTGTTTTTTTTCATTCCTTGTAGCTCAAAAAAAAACATGTGTATGCCTTTCTCCTTTTGTGTTTTATCTTGGTGGTCAGTTGTAAACTCAACAACAGTCCTTAATGAAATGTGATATGGTTCTCATCTCTAGTTTTTCCCGCATAAGATTATGCCATTATCTGAGTTTTACAATGTTGTTGTTAAACAAGTTTATCAATTTTTGTTAAGTTCACTAGTTTTCTATATATAAGCTGAAGTGTAGCGATGTTACTTAATGTGAAACTAGCCAAACAAAATTCCAAACTGTTTCGTACACAAAGTTTTGATATCTTTGTAGTTCGTTTCATGTGTTTTAAATTAACTACAATAATTTTTTAATAGAATTAAATGTGTTTCTTCTATATAGAAACTCGGGCTGGACAAATAAGCGAAACGCAAAAATCCGAACCGAATCCAATCCGATAAAAATGAATCCGAATAGATCCGAACCCGACATAAATATCGAATGGATCTTTTTCTATGGTATTTCGGGTTATGGGTATTATCCGAAACAAACTCAAAATTAAATGGATATCCGATAGAACCCGAAACATTCAAAATCTCCAAAAAAACTGTACAAAAACATGATCTCAATTTCTAATATATATTCAAAATACTTTAAGATGTTACTGAACATCTAAAATAACTATTTGTTATATGAAAATTGATGGTTGAAGATGGCGGTTGAAGCTTAAAGTTTTTAAATATTGGTTTTGTTTTTATTGAATAATGTTTCTCATTTTTTAAGAATTTGATTTTCGTTTTATAATTTCATTTATTTGGTTTTCTTTCAATCAATAACTAAGTTTACTTTCATTTGATTTTGAATGATCACGTTTAATTCTTTTCTTATTTTTGAATCAATTTCATTTAATTTTTTTGGTTACAAACTAGGTAAAAATCATGTACTTTAAATCCAAAGAACCGATTCTACTTTTATTTTGGTTATAAAGTAGATACGAATCATGTATTTTTAAACCGAAGAACTGACTGGGACCTAAATCTGAAAGTACAACGGATTATACCGGTTCTTTGAAGATTTATTAACCCTGACCGATCCCGATAGAACCCGAATCGGTATCGAACCGAACTTTCATATAACCCGAATAAGGTTAATTTTGATAAACCCAAAAACCAAAACCCGATTGAACAAAACCGAAATCCGATTGGGACCCCATATGCCCATGCCTAATTAAAACATGAAAAACTATATTTATTGGACATATCTATTCATTCTATCATCGTGCGGATCAAACCAACCAACCCACCGATTGAATTACTTTTTTAAATCAAAAATTTGTTCCGCATAACTTAGAAAGAAAACACCTTATGTCCACATTAAATTAACGAATAATCCACATAACTTTCAAATAATATTAAATATAATAAAAATAATTTTTTTTTATTTTAAATAGAAATTATATATTATAGTTAAAATAATATAAATACATGTAATAATATTTAAAATATTACAAATATATATAGCTTTTTATTTTGCAGGTTTGCGGTTACCCACAATTCAAATTTGGCCAACTCGTACCCGTTCCATTTAAACTAAATTTATCGTACATCCGCCTTGTGATAGGTCAAACGGAGAGAGATCCACGCAAAATGACTCATATATCCAGCACTACATCATGTGTGGTCTAAATTATGTTCTACTCATCCTTTATCTATCAGTTCTACTAAACACTACAGAATGGATCACAAAACTGTTTACTTCCACCATTTTACAAATTTTCAAGTTCAACTAAGATATCCATAACAATCATCTTAATTACTTTCATCTCATTTCATAATAGATGCTTTAGTTTAGGCCAACAAGTTACATTGCAGCCCACTAGACTCACTTTTGGTTCCGGAACATTTGTCCCGAGGCTGCGTTGAATATATATGTTAACTTCCAAACTTCAAATGAGGAGCCGAACAAACCAAACTGAGACTAGAGTTTGTTTCTTTTTGCATTAAGCTGAAAAAGCGTAAAAATGCAAACGGAAATGTTTAAAACCATTTTGAAACAGAAATCTAACGCATTTTATGTCGGTAGCCAATACGGAAATTAGAAAAATATCATTTTCTTATTAATTATTTTTCTTAAGTTACTTAACACGTATGACATCAGGTTTATTTAATTATTCAATCATGTCCTGAAAGTCATACCTAAAATCATGCACCTGTCTCCCGACATTTCATTAATTTCCGGTGTGGTCTATGAGATCGATTTACATTTGTATATTTGTAATCGAGTGAAAACTTGCAAGAACATACAAATATTAAATCTACAAGAAACACGATATTGAGGAGATGGACCTCGTAAATTCCAACTTCTACATAGTAAAATACTTAAAATTCAATTCCAGGTTCCTTTTAATGTTCAGTGCTTCTTCTGCATGTAAATTTCGGAGGATATACTAGTGTTCACATTTGGTCCAAGCATGTGATCGGGTTTTCACACTGGCGTAAAAGTCATAAAAAAAAGTCTATGGGTTTGATTAGTTTTTTTTAGAGAAAAGGGAAGAGAGAGATAGAAAGAGAAAGAAAGTGCGAGAGTGAGTTTTTGGTTAGTTAGTCAATTTGAGTTTTTTTTTTTAAGTTATTGGATGCAAATTTCCTTGAATTGTTCATTCTTGCTCTTTAAACACTTTTGGGGTAAAATTAAAACAAAAGCTCTTAACCTATATTACAAGCTGCGTCTCAAAAGTCTTTGCATACTGTCCGTGACACTGTCGGACAACAGGTTCCGAACGGTTGATATTGACGTTAACCTAACGGTTGTCTTTTTGTGACGGTTGTCTTTTTGTGAGATTTATTCAATTAAAAAATTGTCTAAAGTTTCATATTTATTTATCATTCTATGACCCAGTTGATTGATCAACATGTCGATACGTTAGATGCAGTGTTTATTTAGATTTTATATATCTAACATTGGAACAAGGAAAATGATTCTATAATTGAAAGAAACAAGATATGGTGGCTCCATACGATATAATGTACATGTTCGTCATTATATAATTTGAGTTTTAAATTCTAAAATATGTCATTGTCCCTAAGAGTAATAATGAGAGTCGTTGGGAAAATTTTAAGGGCTTTTTAAAGACAAATCAGTAAGAAGATTTGATTGTACTAAATTATTTGACCCTCTATATATAGCAGGTGTTTTCACACTCATGGCAATCACTTATTGTCAAAGAAAAAGAGAAACAAGTCCGTTTGTTTATTTCCTTGAGATTTGTCATATTTTATTTTATTTTGATTTGGTTATAATGGGGAACTGCATGGATAGAAGGATGCAAGGAGAAGGAGAAGAAGGAAAGACAGATGCAAGAGAAAAGGCAAAAGAGTCATTCAAACGTGATGGCGATGATGATGGTCAAGGTGGAACGAAGGTGAAGATAGTGCTTACAAGACATGAACTCGATATGTTTTTGCTTCAGATGAATAAGAATCATGATGGAAACTTTATGATGACTAAAGATGTTATGGTAGAGCTAGAGAAGAGGATTATAAAAGGATCATCATCTTTATCATCTTCACCTTCATCTATGGCGTGGGAACCCTCTTTAGAGAGCATCATGGAATGTCCAGAAGTCCAAGAGATGGATAGATGAGGATGCTAAAGATAGCTAGGGTCTGCTATTAGCCTATTATAATGATCTAAAGCATTGTGTTAAATCACTATGAACGGAAATTGTATGACATTTTTGCATCACTTCATTTTGTTGGATAAGTTTTTTTTTTGTTAAGACTAATTTTCGTACCATAAAATATTAGGTATTTTGATCTATCAAGAAAATCTGATACTGATGGGGTTGGTTAAAACCTGATTTTGTATTATTAATAAAATATGATAGTAATAAACATTTGACAAACAATGGGGGTGTAGCTCATATGGTAGAGCGCTCGCTTCGCATGCGAGAGGCACGGGGTTCGATTCCCCGCACCTCCATTACTTTTAAATCGGTTAATTAATTTTTTGCATAAGAAAGCATCTCTCATGCTCAATCGTCAGATTCTTCTTTTATCGACAAATCAACGGACCAAAGTTAGCAATATACGGAAATTAGATATTATATAAAACAAAAAATCATATGCGACCGTTGGTCACACTCTTTCCCTCTTTCTCAGCCTCTCGTTTCTCATCTTAAAGATTATCCCAAAACCAACCGCCGATGCTCCTCCGTCTTCTTCGCCGGTGACTCTCTTTTCTTCTAACTTCCGATTACAGCAATGAGCCTTCGTTTAGTTTCTTCAGTATCCTCCGGAATATATCGCATAACTAATCTCCACGAGACTCATTCTCTCCTTCGCTCCATTCTCTTCATTCACGGGAACAAACCGGTCTGTGTTGATCGTCGACGACCGATTCTGCATTCATCCTATGGATATCGGAGCAGATACAGAGTCTCCGCCGCGGCGGATGTTTCGGAAACGCCTCCGTCGTCTCTTCTCGACGACGAGCTTGTGAGCAGTGTATCCGCCGTTAGAGACTCGGATGAAGCGCTCGAGATGATTAGCGATCGATTCGATTCAGTTCGCGGCGGAATTGTTGAAATTGATGATTGCCGTTCGATAATCGCCGCTGCTGTCAGCCGCGGCAATGTGGAGCTTGCGTTGTCGATTTTCTACGCCATGCGAGCGAGTTTCGATTTAGGTTTAGGTTCTTTTCTCTTGCTTTTACAATTCAGCAAAGAGAATGATTGTTTGATTGAGTAAGCAAGTTTATGAGTGACTTTTGTTGTGTGTTTTTGGCAGGTGGGAGTGAAGTTGATCGATGGAGATGGTCAAGGCCCGATGTTGAGGTTTACACAATGTTGGTCAATAGTCTTGCTGCTTCTTTGAGGGTTTCTGATTCTCTTAAAATCATTAGTGATATTTGCCGTGTTGGAACCTCCCCTGCTGAGGAGGTAAGCAAGTAAATATACTCTAGTTTTCTGCAATGGTTATGAGTCCATTAGGTAGGGTTCATGTATGCATTGCTATTGATATACATAGGTTCCTTTTGGGAAAGTCGTGAGATGTCCGAGCTGTTTGATTGCCATTGCTGTTGCACAACCCCAACATGGAGTTCAGGTAATCATAATCTCAGTTTGATGATTCCTCAGTGCTAAACCTATCATTTTAAGAATAATAATACGATATTTTCTCTGAGTATGTTTACAGATTGTTACCTGTGCTAAATGCCGATACCAGTACGAGCTTTTCTCTGGTGACATAACCAGCATTGAATCAGTAGAGCTCGGGTTAGTTCTCTATTCAATATGTTTATTGTCTCTGTTACGTAGCTATAGGAAAAGGTGATGCGGGTTATTGGTTCTAGAGAGCGAGTTATGTTTGGTAATTTGACCTGAAAAAGATTGGGATGTTTGTTGTGTTGATGCTGAGATATTCACTTTTCCTAAGGAGCTCAATCTGCCGAACGCAGCAAAGACATTCCTCTCTGGGAAAAGGGGCTCAGACTTATCCAGAAGAACAAAGTCACCTCTTCTGTGCACTCTATTGTGGTAAATTCCCCATTGTGAACACTGTTTCTTTTCCAAAAGAATAGCAACTGGATGCAGCAGATAATGTAACCGTTGCATTGGATTTCAGGTACAAACTCCTTCAGGTACAGCTCGAACGCACAGGTTTGCCACTGAGACAGCCGAGCTTCCTGCGCAAGAAGGAGAAAGAGTGACAATCGCCTCTGCTGCTCCATCAGATGTTTACAGACAAGTGGGACCTTTCAAGTTTACCCCCAAAGCTCCAAACCTTTACCCTGGAGAACCCATGAGCCTCACAAAGCACAAGGACGGGCGAGAATCGATTTTGCTAAGACCTCCCAGTAAAGAAGGAGATAAATCCTTGCAGCCCTCGTTTCTAATTCCTCTTTTTGCTGTTTTGGCTACCGGAGATGCTGCTTCTGGCATTATTGATCCCAGTTTGCCTCAGTTACTCTCAGTTGCTGCTGTTACGTCACTGGCAGTAGGAGCAACCCTTAACTCTTTTGTCCTTCCTCAGCTAAATCAGGTATCTGTTCGCTATTGACTGGCTTGCGCTAAGAAAACATGTGTTGGCGTCTTGGGAATGAATTTTCATGATCCGTTTTATGGTTTTCAGCTCCCTGAAAGGACAGTGGATGTGGTCGGTATCAAGCAGCAACTTTTATCTCAATATGATGTGCTCCAGCGTCGCATTGGAGATCTAAAAGAAGCAACTGAGAAAGAGGTTCATGATACAAAGATCTGTCAACCTTTTGGAAACCTACAGTATGTAGTTTTAAAATAAAATTAACGAAACTTGTGTGTGTCCATTTTAGGTGTGGATGTTGGCTCGAATGTGCCAGCTCGAAAACAAAATATTAGCCGTGGGAGAGCCAGCTTACCGGTAAGGCCCTCTCAGATCATTCTAAGATCATCATCTGGGAATTGTTAACAAAGTAGCATAACATGTGTATCATACTGGAACTTAGAACTCGAAGAGCACGAGTAAAGAAGGTACGAGAAAGTCTGGAAAACTCCATAAAGGGAAGGATTGAGCTGATCGATAGCTATGCTAGAGTAAGAAAACGAAACAAGCAATTTTTTTTTCTAAGTTCATGTTGTGGTTGATTAAAAAGAATTGTTATCATTTTTCGATTATCTTCAGATATCATCAATGATTGAGATCGAGGTGGAAATGGACAGTGATGTTCTTGCAGCCGAGGCGGTGAACAATACTGTGAGTTATCTATATCAGTTAAACTATGAACATAGTGAATGTGATAGAATCTGAGGCTTAAAGTAAAAGGTCAATTATTTTCACAGGAAAACATTGCTCAGCAGATAGAGCAGATCATGGAACTCGAAAACCTTGAAGAGGTATGTACATAGCTCCAAAATCACTTTACAGCGGAATCAAAGTATATAAATTAACTGCTATCTTCCAGTTCGATTTGGGACAAAACAGAGCATACATGACATGGTTGTTTAATGTGTTAACTTTAGTGTATACTTATTTGAAAAAAAATGCAGAAATGGAAATTACAGGCGGAAGCAAACGATGAGGCAGAGAGACTTCTCAGCTCTCAACCTTAAACCTCTATGTATCAACAAACAAAACCGGGGAGTAAATCATCTTGATCATGTTCATATGATAATCATCACCATCATCACAACATACCTCATCCTCACGGAAAGTAATCATCTTTCGGCGGCATTATGTATGACACTAATAATGTCGTAGATTCGTCAATGATATGGAAATGTGGACGAATGTTGTGGCATTTTACACTTTTTATTACAAAATGTTAATAGTTGGAATGCCATAAAAAAAAAGGTCTAATATGAATGTTTGAGCATCACATGCTGATACAGGTCAAAACTTCTGGAGCATCGCTAAAAGCTAAAAAGTTTCTTGTGTCGGTCGCTACAAGTTAATTTCTCTTTAGCTAATTATAGATGGTTTATGTAATAGTTTAATAATCACCGAATTGTTTTTTTCCCTTGTGCTCTTTTTTATGTAAAAGCTTTCTGGGAAATTAGTTGCCAAGCACGCAAAGAGCGACTTTCTGAAGAAATTATGACAGTTAATTAAAAAAATTGTTTTCCAATAAAAAGGGAAAAGGAAAAAGCCACGTGGCGACTCTTCTCTGAAGTCGTCTTTTTATACAGAAACAAAAGAGGTTTTAGTTTGTTATTAATTGTAGAGAAGCTTCTCTTTTGATTCTCTCTATTCTCTCTCTCATCTCTCTTTCTTCATCACCTCTTGGAGCCTCGATGGTGAAGAATATTCTGGTGACCGGCGGTGCTGGTTACATCGGAAGTCACGCGGTGCTTCAGCTTCTTCTCCGGGGATACACCGCTGTTGTAATCGACAACCTGGACAATTCATCTCTCGTTTCGATCCAACGCGTCAAGGAGCTCGCCGGAGATCGTGGAGATAATCTCACATTCCACCAGGTTTGTTCATTTCTCCCTCTTGAGGACTGTGTTCCGAAAATTTGGGCGATCATGACCTTGAATTGAGAGAGGTTCTTTGTATCTTGATTTGCTTGATTCCGGTTTGAATTAATTGATTTAATTGAAATGTGTTATCTCGGTAATCTGATAAAATTCTGCATCTCATCTTAAAAAATGTGCAGGTGGACCTTTGCGATAAACCCGCGCTTGAGAGGCTTTTCTCCCAATCCAAGTAAGTTCTTATTAGCATAACCACGCAATCAAATCTTCAAATCGTATGGATCCTGTTAGTTTGATCGGAAAAGTTGAGAAAAGAGAGGAATCTCGTTGCCAGATCATAGATGTAGATTAAGATCTGATCTACATATGATTCTTTATTAATCCTTCCCAAAAATTTAATTCATTGCCCATTGTGTGTTTGTAATGTAGGTTTGATGCAGTGATGCATTTTGCTGGATTGAAAGCAGTTGGGGAGAGCGTAGCCAAACCTCTTCTCTATTATAACAATAACTTGATTGGCACTATTACTCTCTTGGAAGTCATGGCCGCCCACTCTTGTAAAAAAGTATGCCTCCCCTTTTCTTCTTCTGCACTTTTGAGACTTGTGTTAACTCTGGGATGTGAAACATTGTTTGTAACTCTATATCATCTTTTACTGTTCCAGCTTGTATTTTCATCGTCGGCTACTGTGTATGGATGGCCAAAGGAGGTTCCTTGTACTGAAGAGTCCGCCCTCTCTGGAATGAGTCCTTATGCTAGAACTAAGGTACTTTTCTGAATGAAAGCCTTTTTTTTCTTTTTTTTGTATATGGATTTTAATTGGTATTGATCCTGGCCCTTTTCTTGTAGCTCTTCATTGAGGACATTTGCCGTGATGTACAACGTGGTGATCCTGAATGGAGAATCATTATGCTCAGATACTTTAACCCTGTCGGTGCTCACCCTAGCGGTCGCATTGGTGAGGATCCTTGTGGCACTCCTAATAACCTCATGCCTTATGTCCAGCAAGTCGTTGTTGGCAGGCTCCCTAACCTCAAAATTTATGGAACTGACTATACCACTAAAGATGGCACCGGTGTAAGATTTTCACACCCTTATTTATCTTCAACTTTTCTTTTAAACCCCTGCAATGAGTATCATGGCTCTTCCACATGTTTTGAAATTTCGTCCACTCTTGAGAATCCAAGACACTGGTTACTCTCAATCCTAGACGGAGTTGGGTCGTTGTTAGACATACTAAGTTTTATCATCGTTTTTATGTTAGGTTCGCCTGTCTTTGCTTCAGTAATAAGTAATAAAATGACAATTTAAAACTCCCCAAACCGTAAACTACACTGTGACTGATAGTTTGTGATGTAATAGTATTTGCTTTGGTTCCTTTGTGACGGTGGGTTTTCTTTCTACTTCAGGTACGAGACTATATTCATGTTGTTGATCTAGCAGATGGCCATATATCTGCTCTTCAAAAGCTAGAAGACTCTAAAATAGGTAAGGTTCTTCAAAGTAGCTCATTGTCTCCACAATTTATATATCTTCTTCTATATACACATATAAGGGGGGTCACAGAGGTTTGACATGGATCTTGTGGTAGGTTGTGAGGTATACAACCTGGGAACCGGAAAAGGAACAACGGTGTTGGAGATGGTTGATGCATTTGAAAAAGCTTCGGGAATGGTAACATTACTTGTCCCCTCTCTGTCTCTTCTTATAAGGATGTATGTGTTTGATCTTTACTTACATCATACCGAACTGATATCATGTGGTACAGAAAATCCCAGTGGTGAAGGTTGGAAGAAGACCAGGTGATGCAGAGACGGTCTACGCATCAACAGAAAAAGCTGAACGTGAACTAAACTGGAAGTAAGTGAAAGACCTGTAAAAGTTTTTTTGGATTTTGCAAAGTCTCTGAGACAGAAGAAGCTCAAAAATGTTTGTTTGGACAGGGCAAAGTATGGAATAGAAGAGATGTGTAGGGACCAATGGAACTGGGCAAGCAACAATCCTTTCGGTTACGGTTCTTCACCAGACACGACAACATAACAAAAAGCTAAATCACCATTCCTTTTCGGTCTTTATGTTGCACCACTCAGATTCATATTCATGCTCAGGTTTAAGCTTTTGCAGCCAAAACACACAGAGTAAGAGCTACTTACTTGAATATTCATATATGTTTTGCTTTCTCCTCTTGTAATTTATATTTTTTTACATACACACGCTTAGGCTTAACTTAAGTGGATTCTTTTTTTATTTATTGGATTTGTATCATCTTCCTTAGGAATTTATTTGTTTCATGTTATCTATGGGATTATTATTTGTATTAAACAGAAACTGGATTTAGTATTTTTATTCGATTATATTATGGGTTTAGTTTGTTTACTATTACTACCATGTCTACAGAATCTCTTACCCTTGTCATTTTCTTCTTCACACAATAATGTCTATAAACGAGGACAGTGACCAAATGAGGCCCACAAATTGTCCTTTTATTTGAATGAATTGTGAAAGCTCTAACGGTTAATGAAGAAAATTAAAGAGAAAAGTACAAAAGATATATTGAAAAAAAATTACACAAATCTCAAGGATAGTGGGAGTCTCTACAATGATGTGACTTCACTGTTCAAGTTACTTTTTCTTTATTGTTTTCTTTTTTTTTCCTTTCTTTGACTTCTTGAGATTACAAATTCAAAAGATCGATTCAAAAAAAGAAACTACAAATTCAAAAGTTGATACTTCGTTTTTGGTATATTCTTTTGCTTTATCAACACTAAACACTCTTAGATGCAAAATGAAATTCACTTACTTTAACAAATATTCATTTCAGAAAATGGGATTTGGATCTTTGTATTAAACCCATACACCCACTCACTCTCAAACAGACATCTTTATAATATTATTTGAGAATTCAGTTTCTTATGTGTCACGCTCACGTTAACTTTCGCGATGGTTGATTACATAGATACCCTTAATGAATTGTTAGATTTTAAGATTATTATTAATTTTTTATTTAGTTTCTTTTTACCTTTTTCCAAATAAAATATATAATAAAAAGGAAATATTTCTAAAATTTGAAAACAAATTAAAAAAACGAAAATATATGTATATAATATGACTTTATTAAAAAGGAAAGTTCACAAAATAGTAATAACCCCATTAATATATTTATTGTATTTTAAGCACAATATATATTAAGTTATATATAATTTAACTATAATATTTACATATCTAAGACAATAACCAACCGAAATGAAAATAAGAAAATTAATTAAAATTTATTATATTTAGAATAGAAAATAGTATAGCTGAATTCAAAAAATAGATATTATCCAATAAACCAAATTGATAATCAAACCGACTATTGATCCAAAAAATAAATAAAAAGACAATAATATATCCAAAGTCATGTATAATTAGAATAACATAATATTTATTAATATAAATTATACTTATAAACTGATTTAAAACTAAAACTAAATATCAATCAATTATTATAAAATTTTACTTTTATGAATATTCATATTCGTGCATGTACACGGGGAAATCACCTAGTTAAACTAAAATAGAAATCCAGACATCTTTGCATACAAGGAGACCATCTTTGCATAATATAAAGTTATAAACTTAACTCTTTTTTCTTAATGCAAAAATTACGTTTATACAATTTCTAATTAATTTTCTCAAACATAAAAAAAGTAGCAAATACCCCAAATTAGTGAAGAAAAGGACAAAAAGATAATTAATAGAGAAATTAAATCAGCAATGGAAGCCCAAGACGGAACCATCGACTATAGAGACGGTGACCCGACAATCAGATTTAGCAACCACGTGATGCGTCAATACGTTCAATACTTTGACCCGACCCGCTAACTCCATCTTCGACTCTATCTCCATCGTTGGTCCGACCCGACTCGCATACCCGAAACCCGGATTCGCATATCCATCCCCCACTGTCGGCCCCGTCACTCCCCCAAATCCCACCGGCGTACCAGGCGGAGCTCCGATCCCTGGAAATCCCGGCGGAGCTCCGGTTCCTGCAAATCCCGGCGGCGCTCCGATCCCTGGAAACCCCGGAGGTGCTCCAACTCCCGGAAAACCCGGTGGACCCATATTTCGCGGTAAACCCGACCCGGGGTTCCCTGGAGCAATCGGAGAACCCGGATTTATCGGAGGATTACCCGGGAATTCCGGCGAGCCTGGATTTCTCGGCATCATAGGAGTTCCAGGGTCTTTGGGGAAATCCGGAGAACCGGGCTTCCTCGGAGGACCTGGATTCCCTGGAAAATCCGGCGTTTCTGGATCTCCCGGAAAATCTGGCGAATCTGGTATCCTCGGAGAAGCCGGAGTTTCAGTGAAATCCGGCGGACCGGGCATTACCGGAGAATCTGGAACCACGGCAGCGGAGACGGTGGCTATGGCGGAGGAGGAAGGAGGAGGAGGAGAAATGGGGAAAGACTGAACGGTGAAAGTGGCGGCCATGTACTGAGTCCTCCCAGACTCAACTTTACCGGCGGGTATAAACATAAACCCGACTTGGTTACCCGAGTAAAGGAGCTGAATGGAGCTGTCGTAGTGAGAGAACGCGGCGCGGTTAGGGTTTCTAATGGCGACGTACTGAGAGAAGGTGAAGTTGGCTGTGTTGTTGGAGACGGCGAAGGACGGGAGCTGGACGGCGTTGACGGAGATCTTGGGGTCTTTTGGTTTGAAGACGGTGAAGTAAACGATGAGGACGACGGCGAGTAGGAAGAGTAAGAAGACGGTGGCGACGGCGCAAGAAGCTAGATTTGTACGGGTGGAAGAGCGACGGTGACCGCCGTGAGGCTTGGCCATTGTTCGAGATCGGGAGAGTGTTTGGATACGAAGATAGCGTTCGAGGCGAGAGAGTGACTGTGAGACAGAGTAGTGAGTGAGTGAGAGTTTATTATTATTATGCAGTGTGAAAAGCGATGGTCTTTAACATTATTATGCGTTTCAAGGACAACAAACAAAACAACACACTTTAACACTTCATTTACATATTTTTCATTTCGTTTATTACCACTTATTGCATCAATCAAGAATGTCTATTTTTATTTTTATGGTATTTATCTAAGATACCTCAAGATTCCAGAGTCACATGAGATCTTTACTCGTTTGTATTTTTCTACGTGTAGTGGATGACAGACGGTCTAAGCTTTTCGACTGAGATTAGGCTGATTGGCTGATTCATGTACTTTTGTAATCTTGTAGTTTCCTTTATATCTGTTTCTTAAGCAAGTCATAAATCTACACACTCGGTGAAACTAATGTTAGTTTAGTAGTTTAGTTGGATCCAGCTTGCCAAAAAATGAATACCATTACAAGACAAATTGACAGAAATGTCAACTAATACTAGTTATTGACTTTTCGGGTCTCTCTACTTTTATCGAGGCCCATAGAGCATAAGCGACATATAGCCCATCGTTTGCATTCATCTATCCCCTAAATATATTAAAAGAGAAGTCACTTTCTTCACACGTGTCGCTCATATAAAACCTCTCAGAAAAATCCTTTTAATTTTATTGGTTGATTTTCTTTTTAAAATTTTTCCTTTTAAAAATAGCCGAACATAAAGCCGCTTCTGTTCGGTGCCGTCTCTCTGTCATCTCCTTCTCTTCTCGATTCTCTCGGATTCCATGACTAAGAAAGTTTTTCGATCTTCCTCTTACCGAAACAAAAGAAAACACCTATGTTTGCTGCTCTCTCTCTCTCTCGCTCTCTCTCTCTCTCTCTCTCTCTCTCTCTCTCTCTTCGATTCTCTCGGATTCCATTGAAGCTCCAAAAAGCCGATTCGTGTAATCAATCCGAATCTTATGTCTCTCAGGTTCCGATACGTTGTGAGTCTTCTCCGATCTGATTCCATTCTTTGCCGCAGCTCTGAGAATAATAGGATCCGTTGATTTGATAGGATTTTTCTTTCCCGTAGAATCTAGAAGATACATGATAGTTTTTCTGTACTTTTGATCCGTCTTGGTAGTTCGAAATCAGATTGTTGACGAACTAAGATTTGAAATCATCACTGTTCGTGAATCTAGGTGAGTATATATATATATATATATATATATCTGTTATGGTTTCAGAGTACTTGAGCCTTCGTACTATTGTGTAGGGAGTGAGTTTTCCGATACGTTGTGAGTCTTCTCCGATCTGATTTGATGCTTTGTCGCAGCTCTGAAAATCCTAGGATCCGTTGATTTGATTGGATTTTTCTTTCCCGTAGAATCGAGAAGATCGCTGATAGTTTTTTTGTACTTTTGATCCGTCTTGGTAGTTCGAAATCGGATTGTTGACGAACTAAGATTTGAATCGTCACTGTTCGTTAATCTAGGTGAGTATAAATATTTGTTATGGTTTTAGAGTACTTGAGCCTTCGTACTGTTGTGTAGGGAGTGTGGTTGTTCAGACCAATGTGATAGTGTAGTTTTCTACTATTTGTTTAGAGACTTAAGTACATGATCTCTGATATAATTTAAATTGTTTCTAATCTGTTTTGAAATTTGTTACATGAGATGCTTGGTTATTCAGATGATGAAACTTTTGCTATAGCCCTCCAGGAAGCTGAGGCAAGGGTAATGGCTGATAGGTTGTCTGCTTCGACTAGGTTAGTAAATCGTGAGTACACTTATGTATATATCACTCTCAAGTTCTCTTTGAGGGGAATTGGTTTGAGATTATGCTAAAATTAAATGTTTTTGTTGTAGGGGTTGAAGTTCTAGAGGATTATGATCATACTTCTGAGGTAGGCTCCTTACACTCACTGCTACACAACCCTTTTTTATTTTGAGCTGTAAACTTTTTGTATGCTACACAACCTATTTTGATCTTGAGCTTTAAACTTTTTGTATGGTTGAGAATATGAACCTTTCCGCCTCATTATGTGAAACGAAATAAGTGAATCAACCTTATTGTGTGCCATGTAATCATTTGATTGTCTTACTCTATGAGATTGTTTGGTCCTAGGTCTTATCTAATTATTTTCACAATTGTATTCTGGTAGTGCTAGTCGTCACTGTTATTAGAGAAAATTATTCTCCACCTACAGCATAGGACCTCGCTGTAGACTGAAGTTCGATAGAGTCTTGCCCATGTTGTGAAGAATCCTACAAAGTATTTCTACTTTTAGGCGACTTGATTTTCCTTCCACTCACGTTATGTATACTTTATTTTTGCAGGATGCCTGGAGTGAGATGGATCATGATGAGCTTTGATACGAGATATGAAAACATTCTTAGGTGATATGCCTTTTCGATCCTCTTATGATTTTCTGAAATGATTTATAATTTAATTTTCGATTTTGACAAAAAATAATAATTTTAATTACTTGCGCAAGATTATTACATTGATATCGTATATTGATAACTTTTTCGTGGGGATAATTACCAATTTCAAGATTATTACGTTAAGTAATTTAATTTTCGTGTATTAATAATTTTCCTTATTATTCCCAAGGAAAACTTATGCATCTTTACCTTAGGAATTTTAATTAGCTTGTTTGTTTTTAATAACTTACCTTTATCATATGAATTACTTGTGCAAGTTAAATTCATATTATATGCAAATCAATTTAGGACAATACAATTTTAATATCTTTCTTTAAACGAATTCAGTATTTATTATGAATAATATAACGGAAACGTCATTATTATAAGAACTTATATATATAGGCGACCCCCAAGGTCTTAAAATACAAACATTCTTCTCTTTTGCGTTCAATTTTAAAAAGAATGACATTGGTTCAAGCCTCCAAAAGCGTTGTTTCTTATGTTAGAGAATTAAAACCGCGTAAAGATACATCGCGTATTGAAGTTAAGATTATCCGCTTGTGGAGAAACTATAACAAAGAATCAGGAAACACCATTGAAATGGTTTTTGTTGATAAAAAAAGTAAGTAACGATATTACTATTTTTTGACATCTCAGATTCATCTATTATTTTATATTTACTATACAATAAACTAAACTTTTCTTTGAAAAAATACTGTTTCATATCTAATTATTTTGCTTTCACCGAACTTTTATCGTTCACTATGTCTAACTCATGATTTTTATATTCTGTATCAGGGGAAAATAATTCATGCTTCAGTTAGTGAACAGCTGATCAAAAAGTACGAAGACAAGCTACATGAGGGAGATGCGATTGTCCTTTAGTTGTTCAAAGTGTATGATGCTATTGGTGACTACCGTACAACAAAACATCCATATAAAATTGGCTTCTTTCCAAAAACTTTTGTTGCCAAAGCTGATGATTTCCAAGTGAAGTTCCCGAAAAGTATTTTGCGGACTATGATGATATTCTTGGTGGAAAGCTTGAAAACAGCTGTTTGTTTGGTGAGTCAGTTTCATTAAAATTTATCATGTAGCTCGGATTTGTATTAATACTCTAACCATTAATACTCTACAACGTAAGTTGTATGATTAAAATGAGCCACCAGACTTGTTTTAAGTTAAATAAATCATCGGTTGTGTTATACTTGTTCATGATATTTGATGTTTTTTTATGTAGTTGTTATTGGCCAAATAGTTAACTCCGGGTCTCTGGAAAACAAAATGATAAAAGGAAAAGCCACAGACAAAAATACCAAATGTTCTCTACAAAAAAGTTTTTCAGAATATTCCATAGTGAACGGTACGCAATTTTAGTCTATTTTTAGAGATTTTGAATTATTAAATTCTTACATGTGTTTTTTTTCTATTAACAGATAGAATAGCACAGACGAAAGATGGGTTGTAGTTGACTACAAACCAGTTTTAAGATAATTTCGATAACAGTATGTCAATTTAATATAGTTTTGGTCTCAATAAAATTTAGAAATCTATTAGGATATTTGTTATCGTACGATTACTTACAAAATTAAATAATTTTGTGTAGGTTTCTGATTGGCATTTTTTATGGAGAATTGTACTTCGTCTTTTATATTACTTTTGGATTATATTTGAATTTTTATCATATTTTCTTTTAATATGCCACTGCTTTTAAAATTTTTGTTTAAAAACATAAATTTTCTAATTAAATAAAAAATAAAAAATTACAGAACTTATACAACACAATGTCACTTAGTGATAATATAAAGGTGAGCTTCTCATATGGGGTTTGGTGTTTCTTTACATAGACAGTGGAAGAAGCATCCTCTGCTCCTCTTCATGTCTGATCTCACCTGCTTTGTGACCTTCATGTAAACAAGTAGTAGCAAAGTGACGCATACCAAGATGAAGCCGAGATGCAATCGCTTGAAGTACAAGGAAACGACTGAGAACACTAACAATGCTAAGATGACTACCTCCCAGATGACAAAGACTACAACATCCACCCTGCATCAAACCCAAATAGCAGCTCTATTAATAATATGTACGTTAGTAAGTAAAAATCTCAAAACAGCTTATGATACAAGCATAATTGTAAAAGATACAAATAAGATTGAAAAAATCGAAACAGAAATACAAATTTATTCAAGATTCAATGCGTAGATTTTATAGGTTTTCTTGCAAGATCACTGCTTGTAATTGCAACATCTTGTGAAAAAAAAAAACAGAAACTAAGCTAAAACAATAAACAATGGTTCATAGAACCAACAAGTCACCTCCCTATCTGTGGACCATCAAGTCGGTTCCTATCAACAGCAGCCCATGAGACAATACCAACTCTGTTCACAACACTCTGAAAAAAAACTCAGAGTCATACTTGTTACCAAAAAATTTAGAAGATCTTGCGATACTTGGAGATCAATGAATTCACTATTGAAGATTTGTTTCCATCAAAATCCAACTCAACCGATATCACAGTATTTTTTTCATGCCCGCACAGGGTACAGATCAGTCACCTAGTATATTATTAAAGTTGAAGTACATTTGAGAGTTGTTTGGAAACATGAATAGTAGGTTAAATAAAAATTATTTGAAAACATAGATAGCAGTATAAAAAAATATAATATTTTTTAATAATGTTATTAATTATATTATCTTAACAATACATCAAATCATTAATTATATTTACCTTTAACAATACATCAAATCATTAATTATCTATCTATCTAATTAAAGTTGAAGTACCAATTGGAGTGTTTGGTAATAGGGTTACCAACTATTTTTAATGGTTGTTTGGTAACAAGTATATCTATCAAATCTTAAAAATATTCTCGGATGGGCTAAGGTATAACAGGCCCAAATCGTCACAATGCTAGACCTACGATATTGTTAACAAATCTATCTATGGTTTTGTTAACAAATACCAATAATATATCCCTTAACTTACCTACGTTTTGTTCAAAAATACCAATAATATATATTTCGAAAATTTTAAAAATAAAGTCATTTAAAAAAAACATAATAGATCAGGATTTTCTTTAAAAATAATAAAAAATTAAAAATAATATTAAATTTTATTGACAAAATAGATTATTTTTAAAAAAAATTAATGAAAATGTTTTTTACTTAGATAAAATAGTACGTGGGGAACTCACAGATTACCCGCAAAATTAAGCGGAGAGGATGTGGTATTGTGAATTTTGAACCACGGGTTGAACGGTCAAAATTTTAAGTAAAAAAAAATAGTTGACTTGCCGGTTATATACGACCAATGAGTTTAAAACATATCAGCTGGCAAAACCTCTGATAGAATGGTACTTGAAGAACATATGCCAATCCAAATTATATACAACAAGGAAATCTATAAATACTCTTTGTGAAATTCAATTTAGTTTTGGGTTTTTAATTTGGTACGTTCAGTTTGCGGCTTCGAATAAATATATCAAAACATATACTTTCAGTTTACAAATGTGGTTAGATATTTAATAAAAATAATAAAAGCAATTAAAAACAAAATCCACCTTTTCCAAAGACGGGTCAAGTTCTAGTATGAATTAATTTCATTTTCATTTGACTAAATTAGATTCTGTTGGTGAAACACCTGGTTGAATATAACCTGGAAAAGACTGGTCAAAATCTAGTATGAATTAATTCCATTTTCATTTGACTGAGTTAGATTCTGTTGGTGAAACACGTAGCTGAATATAAGCTTCGATTAACTCACACCATCGGAGATCCAATTAGTACGGGTTACGGTTCAAGCGTTAAAAGAAACTTGCAAGAACCTTCTGACTGAAAACCAATACTTTACACCAACCAATACTCCGACAGTTTCCATATGTTTTTGACCAATACGTTTGATATGATGTGATGTATAGGAGCTCATGAATCCTATACTGAACAATAGTTATATCCTCAAAGTTTTATTTATTAAGCTTTTAGGGGAACAAACACAAAAGCTTAAAGGCTTCTTTCATGGAAGAAAAAAATTATCCACGAAGAGCCTATCAACGTTTCTTTCAACCATAAACATACACACACATACATAAATACAAACTTTCTTATGTACTTAGAAAAGTTTACTTAGTTAGCTCCTCCAGACGACAATCCATGGCCATAAAGACAGCTTCAAGGAACGTATCCTCGCTTGATACAGGTAACACCGAGTAATGAGCTTCTCTAACTATCTCTTCAATCACAGAGTCTTTGTTCACCGTTTCTCTGCACATTATGCTTCCAATTTGATACGCAGTTAGGTTCCTCTCAACACCTTTCTTCAGAAGCATCGTGGAGATACGCAGCGTGCGTGCGACAGCTTCAGGGACGTCCCAACCGTTGAGTTTTAGAAGCGCAATGTCTTGTTCAGCGTCTAGGGAGTTTATGTAGTTGACTGTGTCTTCAGAAAACGGGACTTTTGCTTGTGGCCAATAAAGCCATTCAAATGTGCAATCTTCAAACTGCATAAACCAATCTCAACATTAACTTAGTTTCACATCTCACAAATACTTAGAAGCTCACAGATTATGAAGATAACTTACATTCTCAGGCAAGCAATAACCATGATCAATGGGGATTAGCACAGTTTTACCATCTTCTCCTTTCCCGGTCAATATGTTTCCAGCATGTCTATCTGCATTCGCCATTCTTATGTCAAAGACGCTTATCTTATGCACTTCTTCCACAGGAAACGCTCCAGGACCAATGTCTTCACAGCTTCCATCATTCTTCATAAACATTTGCAAAGAACCAACTTTGGCATCTTTTCCCTTACTGACCTCCTTTGGGTAGTTATACACTTTGTGAAAGCTTCTGACCATAGCTGTTGGTGGAACGCCAGCAAAACCCATAACTTCTTTACACAAAGATCTAGGCCCACCTTTAGGATGATCTAACAAGTAAGCTGCAACTTCCCTAATCGCCCCTTCTCCCACTCTAGTCCCTCTCTTTAAACCCTGACCGTCAGATGACAAAGGAAGCTCCTGAGGATTGTTCACAGCCATGGGCTCCTCATCCATAGGCTTGAACACAGACACGTAGTTAAGCCCTGAAGAGTCTTGCATCAAATACGTCCCACCCGTTCCTTCAGCTGATCTCACAGGTGAATTACCTTTCTTTAACCCATCAACCGTGCGGTCAATCATATCTTCAATAACCTCAGGTAGTAACTCCACATCCCTATTGACAACAACAGGTTCTAACAAAAATTCTTGAACAAGAGCTTCTTCTTTCACTGTCTTCTTAACCATCAAGTGGATCACAGACCTTCCATCTTTACAAATCCCATCGATGACTCTGTCGTCATCAAGCTTCTCCCCTCTAAAGAAGATCTCTTGATCATCATCAAGAAACTCTTTACCTTCTTTAAAGATCCGTTTCTTGAGATACCCAACGTTCCTACGACGATCAACGTGAAAGTCAAAGACCTTACCGCAGGTAGTGACAACAGTGACGAGGAGAGGATCGTAGAGCTTGAGGAGCAAATGCAAGACGCTGTTACCGGTGACTCCGTAGTCTTTAGCGCGTGAGGCGTTTCTTGCGAGCTCTCGACCGCAGAACACGAGTCTCTGTCTTGTTACACGGAAGCCGTTACATGTCTGGATCTTGAGTTTGATGTCGGAGATTGAATCGGAGTCGAGGATGAGCATAGGCATGGTTGAAGAAGAACCAGAAACGGTAATGAAGATCAAAAGAGATTTTACTGAGTAGTGAGATTGTTTTTGACCAAAAGAAAACCCTAATCCTCTGTGAATTGGGGTCAAAGCAACATCAGCAACAGACATTTCCTATTAAGAAAATAAAAACTAGCTCTCTAATTTAAACATAAGATCTTCAAGAACGGGCATCAACAAGAGACACCCCTCCATGTAAAATCTATTGTAAGATCCCAAACACAACACCAAAAAACACCCTCCTGAAAAATCTAAGAGAGACTTAAACGACGATGAAGGAAGGTTAAAAATTCATTATGAATCTCCTCTTCAAACGGCAACGAAGATCGTTAAAAAAAATAGGCAATCTATTGACTTGTGAACACACAATTTAAAGAAGTGATCTTGGGAGATTTGAACTTTTTTGTGTACCAGAGAAGGGGAAGAAAGAAGCCGTTTCTTTCTTTTAATAGACGCCCGCTCCTCAGCCTTTTCCGGATGCCTTTTTTCTATACTAACGCCGTTAAGTCTTACATATACACGACCGTTTGTTCCCTATAAAAACAATAATATTTATAAATAGCATAATTTAGATATCTACCGTTTTACATTTAGGTCCTTACTAACTTATTCGGATATTTATTTATGTTATCCCCAACGGTCTATTAACGTGTTAGTCTTTACCGTCATCCAACTAACGGAAGCAATAACGTGTCTTTTGGATTGCCGGCCAACCACGGTATTCTGAGTCATTCATGCAATGATATCTCGCCACGTGTGATTCTCTAATAAGAAATGCAGTAGATATTAATTAAAGTCGATAATTATTTTAATTAGAGATGATGAGATTACACGAACCTAATGACTGGAGCATTTAACTTTTCTGAAACTTGAACAGGTCTCAAACCGAGAATATTGCCGTTGCACATGGATTGGGGTCCTCTTTCCACTTAACCCAAAAAATCTTGTCTCAAAAGCCTCAACTATCATTATATATTTTTAAAATAAAGCGTATACTAATATATATAAATACAGCATGAATAATGATGTATTATGCAGGTTCGTGGAATCTTCTCCCTATGCTAATGTAATGTAACTCATAACAAGGTTATTTTAATTCCTTTCAGTGATACAATAATAACAAGAGAAATTTTCTAAGATTGCCCATTTTAGCTAATTTTCACGAAAACCTACAAGAAGAAAAAAAAAACAAAAGAAGTTTTTTTAGAAGGTAAATATACACGCATACCTATAGTGTTAACTTTTGTAAACTTGTAATTTAAAATTGAGGGACTGAGTCATTAAGATTTAGAGATGGGGTTAAAAATCTTTTTTAAAGTAAAAATAAAATATTTAAAATAAAATATTTAAAGATAGTTTCAGTTATCATTTTTGAATTTCAAAATAAATTTGAAAAGACTTAAAACAGAAAATTTGGTTAATTTTTTTGAATTTGAAAGCATATAATACAAAACTATAAAATATTTATATATTTTATTTGTTTTTTACTTTATATTATTTATTTATATTCTATAAAACAAGAGGTAGAAGTGTCTTTTAACTCTTTACTGAAATTGATTTTACAAATATTCAAAACTTAAAAAAGTTTAGATTATGTTTTTTTATAGAATATGTTTGTGATTGGATTTATTATAGTGAAATGGAGTAAAAGAAAAAGGTGAAAGAGTGGAAAGATTATAGTGGAAATGTCAATTTACTGTAGCAAAAAGTGTTTGCTTTAGCAAAATGTAGAATAAAAATGATTGTGTAGTTTTTTCTTTTTAAATATTAACTAGAGTGAAAGCCCTTTATCAAAAAAAAAAAAAAATATTAACTAGAGTGGATGTTAAAAAACTATATTCCACTTGATTCAAATTTATAGTGAGATGTAGAGTAAATTGACATTACGAGTAAATATTTACTCTAAAAACATTATCCAATCACGCTATATATTTTTTATAAGTTATACAGAACATTTATAAATAAATAAATAAATATATATGGTAAAAATTATGCATTGTTAGGATTGGAATTCTCGCCTCTTTCTAAATAGGTCAATCTAATTTCTTATTTTATATATACATATATATATACATATTTTTTTGGTAAAATTTATGCGCACCAAATAGGATCCCAGTTCTCACCACTTTTAAAACAGACCACTCTAATTTCCTATTCTAAAATAGAGTTTTGAAATAACAATATCTCGACTTTAAATAAAATTAGGTTTTCACTTTAAATTGAATAATTTTTTATCATTCTATTTTCAGGATAAAATAACATTCGTATAGAACTTAATTCTACTATAAAATTACTCAACTTTGGAAAAAAATAGAGTGATCAATTAGAAATGGTTTTAGACGGGGTAGTTTTGTTAGAATTTAACGTTTAGTATTCATTTCAGTTTGGGAAGTTTCCCGGGTTTAAATATTCTGGTATTAGAAACATAATCTCTGTTTAAATATTTAATTTTTTAGGTTTTGGTTCATACGACACAAATGGATATATAATTTTTTATCACAACAACAAAACAATCAATTTGACAATTATATAGATTAATTTCATATTTACATTTTACAGTATTTATTATGTCATATTGGTTTATCCAATGGGTTTTGAGAAACCGCACATATGCTAATACCATACAGTTTGATTCCAGTTTGGAATGTCTCCTGATTAATATATATATATATAGATATATATATATCCTAAATTATTTTATATATAAACTATTATAATTGAATATGAGGTGTAGTACCGTGTACCACGAAGGAAGGTCCAAAGAAATGTGTGTCATGAGATGATAACACCAAACACTAAAGATTTGTCGTTTCTTTCGAAAAAAAATCCGATAATCGGTTCATGCATCATGCATCCAATCCTACTTAGTTTCTCTTAGTTGTCGACCGTTTAAAGGGGAACTCTTAGGCAACTTAATTTTTATAGAAAGCCTTTTCAAAAAAAAAAAAACTTAACTTTTATTCACATTACATCCACAAATTTCCAAAATTAAGTCATATATGCTGTTAGCAAAATAAAAATAGCTTATGTTTCAAAAATCATATATGCTAACTTTTTGTGGAAATATAGACTAACATTTAAAAAAAAAAAATTGACTAGCATTGCATGAGATATATTCATAAATCACATATAATACCCAATTTGGTGTGGTGTAGTCATATATCCTTATATGGAGATAGCCGTATAAGCTTACATTATGTAGAGACATCTACTTTACTCTATTAATTTAGAATCCTAATTTTTATCTATTTTAAAAAATTATCATTTAAATTTTGGATCTATTCAATCTTTTTAGAACTAAATGTAACATCCCTTATAATAAAGATAAATATTTTTGGTATTTGAAAATTTTCAAATATTCAATGTCATTAATTATTTAAACTTAAGGATATATTTATCATCAACTTAAAGCATATAAGATTAACAAACCAAAATTTCATATAGTTATATAGCTAAACCGATCTAACTCTTGACCTAAAAATCCCATACGGGTATGGCAATGGTTCACCATATTTGTAATCGGTTTATATAGTTTTACTAGGTGACCGGTCCGCACCCTGTGCGGGTATAAAAATATAGTATAATGTTGAGACAGGAGTATCTATTGAGTTCAAATGTGGGAGTTAGTGGAACAACTGAGAGTTTCAATGCTGAGACAGGATTTGCGCAAATCTCTAGGATGTAGTAGGGGTGGGCAAATCGTTACTTTTTCAGTTTGGTTTGTTTAGTTCGGTTGTAATATATTTTTTCAATTGAAATAAACCTTATTTAGTCTGGTTCGGTGTTGTTTATGCCCAGTTCAATTTATATTCAGTTCGGGTTTGTTTTTGGATCAGTTTAATTAGGCTCTTTGTCGCTTAATTTTTTAAAGGAAAAATTATGTTTTAAAACATATACACATCAAATATGTGAACTAAATTCAATATTAAACTGAAACAAAAATAAAAAAGTCACAAAACTATATAAGAATAAAAAAAAATAAAAGTTAACTAAAGTAAAAAAAATTAACATCATTAGTATGTTTTTAATAAAAGTTAATTATTAAAAAACAAATGTAAGAAAAATATACAGGAGACAGTGACATTAAAAATGTGATAAAAATCTCATAGATATCACAATCCCATAGAAAATGTGATAAAAATTTAAATATAATTCATAAGTAATATAAAATAAGAAGAAAAATTATGAATTAAAATAATCTCATAGAAACACGAACATAATTGACAGTATATATATAATTTGACAGATTTTGTAAGAGAACTCAATCAATCAAGTATGTTTCAAAGCGCTCCAAAGCTCAAGACATGATAAGTTTCTGCAAAGTAAATAAAATAAATTTGATGTCAGCAGTAAGACTTGATTTTACATTAAGGTATTATTTAAACAAATCAATAAATATGATACCAAGTTGCGCAAGTAATCCGCAATGAAAATAAGGTAAGTTATTAATAAAAAAATTAACAAATTACAAACATGGTAAATTACACTTAAAATCGTGAAGTAAATACTATTAGGATTGAAATTATGCAACTACTGTAATTTATTATTAAAAAAATAACTAAATGAAAAATGAAAATATTTAAAAGGTGGGTTATATGTGCTAATAATGGCGATCTTACAACATTAAGATACCTATTATATTTTCATAAATTGGTCTGCAGTAAATATGATATCAACTTGCCCAAGCAATCCGTAATCAATAGGTAAGTTATTAATACCGAATTAACTAAAGGTAAATTATTTAAACAAAACAATAAATATGATACCAAGTTGCACAAGTAATCCACAATGAAAATAAGGTAAGTTATTAATAAAAAAATTAACAAATTATAAACATGGTAAATTACATTTAAAATCGTGAAGTAAATACTCTTGGGATTCAAATTATGTAACCAGTGTAATTTATTATAAAAAAAATTAACTAACTAAAAATATTTAAAAGATGGGCTATATGGGATAATAATAGTGATCTTACAACATTAAGATAACTATTATATTGTCATAAATTACTCTACAGTAAATATGATATCGACTTGCCCAAGTAATCCGTATTCAATATAAGATATGTTATTAAAACCGAATTAACTAAAGGTAAATTATTTTAACAAAGCAATAAATATGATACCAAGTTGCGCAAGTAATCCGCAATGAAAATAAGGTAAGTTATTAATAAAAAAATAACAAAGTACAAAAATGGTAAATTACATTTAAAATCGTGAAGTAAATACTCTTGGGATTCAAATATGCAACCAGTGTAATTTATTATAAAAAATTAACTAATTGAAAGTATTAAAAGATGGGCTATATGCACTAATAATAGTGATCTTACAACATTAAGATAACTATTATATTGTCATAAATTACTCTACAGTAAATATGCTATCAACTTGCCCAAGTAATACGTATTCAATATAAGATAAGTTATTAAAACCGAATTAACTAAAGGTAAATTATTTTAACAAAGC